TTCTCCCCATGCTGTCCTTTAGTCATAGCACAGACATTAATAAGCCATACATATCTCCATTTGAAAGTTGTGGTGAAAAAAAGCCTGCTAAAATTTATATTGATGACAAATTACAAATTGATGATTTTGAAGAAATAATCTCTACTTTCCTTAAATACATATTGTTTGTCTGCCTAGATCTTTTTATTGTTTTAGGACAAAAAACATTTTCAATGATAGAAAACCATATATAAGGTTAAGGTTTYCAAATTTTGTCTTCAAATACTTCAAATTTTTTTTTTTTTTTTTTCCAGTTCTCAAAATTCTTGAAGAGGACATCACTTCCAATAAGAGTCTTTTTGTTTGGTTTCCTTAATTGAAGTCAGTTTCTGTATATACTTTATCAATTGTCAACCCTGAAATCTAGGGTCAGAGCCAGGAAAAGAAATCTTTCTCRGGGTATCTAAATCTATCCTGAAATCCTATCTGTCTTGAAACTTATCACCTACTTTCTTTCATCTCTCTAAAGAAAGGTAGAAGTTCCCTGAAAGAATGACCCAGAAAAAAAACATGCTGGATTAAACTGTGGAGACAATGATCGTAGGACTTAGGGACACCAATACAGATTAATTTTATGCTTGCGGGAGTAACCTCTGAGAAAAYCCATCTTAATAGGTCACTTTTCTCATCTATACAAAGCAGCACTAATTCTTTTTCACTGTCAAGAGTACTTGTAGGATCCCTCATTCATTAACAGTCTATAAAGGCAGATGCCCCCCAGAAATATCAGACTAAGGCCACAGCAGTTATGTAGATTCATTCATCTTCAGATTTTTTTTTTTAATCTATTTCTGCATTTTTGGTCGAAATATTATAGCACAAAAACTGGAAACTCCTACAAACAATAGCTCCAAATTTTGCATGTGGACAAAGCCATACAGGATGCAAAATAGATGAGGAAGTTGCATCTATCTAATCTGTTTCTGTATAAGAAGGGAAAGAAACAAAGAGACAAGAAAAAAAAGAGTCATTTCCGGTGAGAAATGGCTGTGTTACTTTTCCCCCCCCCTCCATTTTCATCATATACTTCTGCCACATCTGCCTCCCACTTTTCTCACAATAACTTGCAAACAGCTTGCTATGATTCTCATCTAAGCAGTTTACCATGCTCTTAACCTTTCAGAATTAATCATTTGCCTGTTTTAGGAGTGTCTGATTCTTATTTTTCTTCCTTAATTTTGTCAGGATAATTGATCCTTTTAGAGTTCTAGCATCTGCTTCTTAACAACCACAAACAACCCCCCAAATCTTTAGAAAATTAAGCAGTTTGGGTTTTTTTCCTAGCAATCTCTAAGCAAAGCCCCACCTTTACAACCTCTCCGATTGCACAAAGACAAAATGAAATCGGTAGCTCTTCCCAACTACCCCTCTAAAGACCCTTGTTTCTCTTCAACGAAGAGAAAACAACAAGTCCACCCACCAATATTGTTAGCCAGAAAAAGGAATTTCAGGTGTGCAGCAGTACAGGAAAGGATCTCAAGAAAGAGAAGGAACCTCCATTCCCCCAGCCTAAAATTCTCTGCTCCCTCAGCCTCCCTTTCATGTCCTTCCTTYGAGACAGCAACCATTTTCATGGCCTTCTCCTGGTCTTGCTCCAGCCTGTCAAAATTGAGGAGAGGAACAAGAGTCCTCTCGTCCTTCAGCATGAGATAAAGCAACAACAGGAAAACAAGGCAGAGTTTTGGACAATCTCTTTATAATTATCCTTAAAAGCAGGCCATAAGCACTCTGTTGTGGATAGTATCTGGTGGACTATATCTGGAAGGTAATATAAAATTGGAATCCTCGTATTAGCATGTAAACAAAAAGAAAAAACATCACTCTAAGGGCAACAGAGATACTTATAAAGAGATTGAAACATAGCAAGACCACTTCAGCTAAGAAAAGAAATAATGAGAAATCACAGTACTCAGGAAAGGTACAGTGACATTTAAGCAGCAAAAAGATTTCTTCAGGTAATACCAAAATTTCTGACCCAGAGCAATAGGAAAGTAGTGACAAGACGGTTAGAAAAATGATTTGGTGGAAAATTCTCATAAACACTAGAAATCCATTATTTTGTCCCATTTAATTTTTAGCAATTTAGACAAGAGGAATGAATCAACAGAGAATAACTATTTATTCAGTGAATATCCTGCAACATTGATTTTTTTTCGTAAGAGTAGTGTGTGCATCTGTCATCTGACSCAAAAACATGCATGTTCTAGAAGCCTCCATCATCTCTGCAGTTGGAACACATGGTTTGAGATATTCCAGGAATTGTTTAGTGTCTTGTGTAATTTCCTCAAATCCTTACTCTCTCATTGCATAGCAAATAAAGTGCGAACTGGCTTCATTTATGTCTTCTGTAAATCAGCTGCTTTTCTAGATTTGCCCAATAGTGAGGGCTTTGTTCTCTATTGGTAAAAAGTACCTTTCATTTGGTGCAAATGTGGAAGTCTGATTGTCACTAAAGGCTCCAAGTTCTTTAGTTGCGTATTAAGGCTCTTATGCTTTCCAATGCTTTCCATTGTTAGAGACTGAAAATGTGTTAAAGAACGTGAAAAGAAAAAAAGAGAGAGAGGGATGCTGGAATGAGACAAGTCATTTCTTTTAGCTAAAGACTGAATAAAGGAAGAGAATATTTTAAAAAAACACACAGAAGAGATAGAAGAGATAAAAAGAGGGATGAAAATGTAAACAAGAAGTGACAGGAAATAGGCAAAGGCATTATCACTGAGTGTCCATTTTTAGTATGTATAGCTAGCATYACCTGTGTGATTTAAAGAAGATGAAAGCCAGATTTCTAAACTTGGCTAAGAAATATTGTCTTACACTACTTTCTAGTACCAGTAGAGTTCAGTTTCAATTGTTTTGAAAAATGGTATGAGGGGAATATATAGAATGAATCTATGGGGGAAGGAAAAACAAAAACAAACAACAACAACAAAAAACCACACACATTACAGCCTCTCAAAATTAATTGCGGCACAGCATGAAAATATGAGCCTAGACTATCCAATAGATAGGCTAGAGAGATAGCAAATTTGTGAGCACAATTACTACAGGGTGAAAATGTCAGAACCCATTGCACTAAAATAAAAATTTCATTGGTTATGGCAAATAATCACCAATTGAATCAGAAATATTCCGTCTATTGTCCTACTGTATAAACATCACATTCATTCCATCATTCGAATGTATAATCACTGCCCTTGTTTACATAGCTTGCCTTGGGCAGAATGAGATTTTTTTTGCCAAAATATAAAGCACTACAGGCTTATTAAATTCTAGCTATAAACTCTTTCTTGAGGAATAAAAACAAGCTGCTTTGAAAGGCTGAAATGGCTGTTGGCTCACCCTAAATGATTTGTAGGGAACAAGGGAACATGCACAGAATGCGGTATTGCACTGAGAGCAGCACCTGCTTACACAGCCAAGCCAAGGCTGGGTGGATGGAGGCTGTAGATCACACAGTAGTTAGGACTCAGCAGGACCAGGCATACTTTCCTGCTTCCTGGGAAGTTTTCAGGGTGAATTCTGCACCTCCTTTCACCTTAAGAATAGCCTTGGTACTTGTTCATGAATCACCGTTTTCCTCAAACTCTGAACAGTCACAAATGCATCATTTTTATTATTTGTCATTACAGCAGTGCCTGGTGGCCAGGAATTGAGGTGGCTGCTATTTCAAACTAGGCAACATAAACTTACACAATGAGAGAGAAACCCTCTGCTATTTCTGTCCCTTTTCCACTAGCCAAGACAACATATACTTTGGGTGGCACGACAGGGAATAGGCTGTTTTCTGACTTTCAATCACATTATGATTTCATCCAGTTCTGAATCACTCTTCTCTTCATAATGCAAAGCTAGGAAAGGATACAGAAGTATCATTCCCAAGGTCAATCCATAAATCAGTAGCACAGTTTGGAATAGTAAATAGCTTCTGAACTGTTGGTCATCTGCCCACAGCGAGACTGTGCCAGACATTCATACTTCCTTTTCATCATGGGCTTTGTAGAATATTCACTTCCCAATCCATGCAGTGTTGTATATCACAAGGAAGAGATGTTCTGGGGCTATTATCAATTTTGTCAAGAATCAGCAGCTGTCTAAGCACACATGGATTAGCATGATTGAGTAATCCCTGTCACAATAGTATCCATGCTCTCTGTCTGTATTATGGCACAGAACTACAAGCATTCTTTTTTATCTCTGCTTTTTGTTCTTTCTGTAGATTTTTGTCATTAAAAATTTGACATTTAGAGCATGGAAAAGTAGATCATTTATCCAATTATTTTATATTCTGAAGTCTCACCAGTATTTGCAATATAAATAGAACTCGCTAATATTTTAATTTTTGATTGGTTTGGCCTGAAGAATCTCATGTATTTCCTTTGATCATGGAAAGTCATGTACCTTTCACATGGTGCTATGTGAAAGCTATGTGATTTATTTTAATAAATCATGTTCATGTAAAAAATATGGATCATTACATCAAAGGGCTTCAGCGAAGTCATGCTTTCTTGTGGCTACTACTGGAGAAAGGGGGTCTCTCACCTCCCATTCTCCGTCTTGCTGTCATTTATCTGCAGCACTTGCTTTAAGACWCAATGCTCTTAGAGATAAGAGGGGATAATAATGAAAGTGGATCAAGAGGCTTAATGAATCTGAAAGTCCTTTAGAGGTTCTTGGAAGAGAGACCCCCAGAAATTCAAAGCCTTATAATAAAATCCCCTAGTGCCTGCTCTACTGGGGAGATCCAGGCTTTTTTCTCCTCCTCWTCTGGTGTAGAGCAAGTGACTGAGCCAGTCTTCAAAGGGAGGAGTCAGCAGGTGAAAGAGCTAGAGAACACCTTTTCATTTGTCATGACAAAGTGTCCTACTAGCTCAGCAGTTTTGGCGCTCTTCAAAGGGTGAAATTCTCAGGTGCATGGATGGGTTTATGTTCTATTCGACTAGAGCAGTGTAAGGATAATAGTACCAAAGAATAGCCCAGGGAGATAAGCCAGGGCCTTTGGATGACAGTGTTCAAAGACCAGTGGTGCTCAGGAGAATCGGTTCTTCTCCCATGTAGTCTTTGGTTGAGTTCAGTTACTGTCTTTGGTCCTTGCTTGATTCTAACAGCAAAACTGGGGAAAGTAAAGCCTTTATGAATGGGTTTGTAACACCAGCAGCTTTCCTCCTAAACAGTGCGTCAGAGCAAGCAAAACGCAAACCACACACCTTCAGCCTTTCAGTGCAAAATGAGCTTACCTGGCCCACCTCTTTCCTGTAGCAGGATCATTAAATCAAATTGAAGCACACCACTCACTTTACTAAGGAAAAGCCAGGCTAGCAGGGATATGTGCTTTACCCTTCCCCACCACCTCCATAAGCACTGGAAAGTGTCCTATACCCTAGGATAACAAAACAAAAAAGAAAAAAACAGGTTCCCATTGAACCGTGTAGGCAGTCAGGTCACTGCTCTAGAGAATGCTTCTGTTTTAGAACTTCAAAGCCTGTTGAAGGATTAAGATGTGGTTTATGGAATTGCCATATTACATTCTAATCACTTAGCATACCACACACTGCTATTCTCAGAGTTATTCAATATTTATTAATAGATTCTTTGAGTCAGATACCGTTTAAGTGTGTAAAACTTGACCAACTCACATAAGAGCAATGTCAATAAAGCATTCATTTTATAGCAAATTAACTGTTATTAGAATCAGGGATTTTCCATTTGTTTTTTCTCTGAAGGATAGTAAGAACTTGATGAGCAAAGATAAATATTTAGAAAGTACTAACACTGTTCTTTTTTTCCTCTCAGAAGACTAACACTTTGAACCCTATAGGAATCCAACACTCTTTGACACACTACAGTATTACAGAGCCTAACACTAGACGGATTTCTACCTGAAACTGCAGGGGATATTTTAAACTGACAGAGGACTTGTCGTCAGATGTGTCTGGGGCCCTGGCAGTAGGGCAGAGGGACTCTCACTTCGCTCCCCTCACATCCAGGAGTGGAGACATTTCTAAGGTTAGGTTATCGACCCSGACTAGGTCTTTCAGAAGTCTGTTTGGCTCAAATTCACAAAAGAGTTTAGATTTCATAATGCTGAACCCCTTTTTTTCCCCCACCTACTGTGAATTGCTCTAGGCTATCAATTTTWTAATTAATGGCCTGATTAAACTCTCCTTTCCACATGATGGGTGTCACATACTCAGCAAAAGGAGGGAGCTTTCTTTTGATAATCTAGAAAGAGAAAACAGTGTTCTTCTGTGTGTAGAAACTTCCTAGTGAATGTATCCCTTATCCTCCTCTCATCTGGACCCAGAAGACAGACAATTATCTAAAGCACCAGTCACCTCAACATAGAAGACAAGCGAAAAGCAGTAGTTATAGTTCACTCTAACTTTATCAGTGATTACAACAATGTCTGCCTCTGAAATACTATGTCTAGTTTGGGGCTACTTTTGCACAAATGTTATTGATAAATTGATATCAGTCCAGAAGAGAGAGTAGAGTCTGTTAATTCTGGGAAAGGGAAGGCTAAAAGGAGGRCTTATTGCTGCTTTCAAGAGGAGTTGGAAGTTGCCTTCAGATAGAGGCTAGAACCTGACCTCTCTAAGTTCTATGGAGAAAGAAGAGGCAGCAACCACAAGCTGCAGTAATGGATATTTTGTTGGTGTAGATGTGAAAAGAAAACTTGCCATGACACTATCAGCAGTACAGGGTGCCAGAGAGGCTGTAGTTTTGACTTCCTTTAGGATTTTTAGAAATCAAGCCCTGAACAAGCTGATCTAACTTCGAAATTAGTGCTGCTCTGAACAGGAGGCTGGACTAGGGATCTGCACAAGACCCTTCCTTATTCCACAATCCTAAAATAAATACTTGATTTTTTTTTCACCTTCTTTCCTTCCCTTTTTTTAGCTCTACCAATTAAAAATTTGGAAGACAAAATGCTAACATTGTCAGAAATTGCTGCTTATGTAACTGAGTAGCCAGAAGAGAAGATCCATTTCTGCATCAAAGGATAATAAAGGCAGCTGACTATCTCTAAGAGAACGAATGCAAAAAGGGGGAGTTACTGTGACGGATACGTTCCTTTCCCAGCTCATCCTAGCCTGTACCTTACATGCAGCCCTGTTTTGYTGCTGACCACCAGCAACCGATCTAATTCTGGCAGGCGCCATCGTCCTGATTTCTGTTCTCACTGAGACTTAACAAAAACAGTCCTCAAGGCTACATCATAAACAGGGAGATAAGGCCAACATACTAACCTAAGTCTTTGAAGTTAAAAATATGACTACAAGCCAATCATCTTATTCCATAAATACTCGGACAGCCTGAGAGCCCCTTTGAGCTCTCCTGACACGGCTGCGGCCTGCACACCAGAATCTCCCCTTGGGCAGGGACGCCTCTCAAGGTTACTCCTCGAGGTTCCTTGAGAGATCTTCCTTTCCACAGCAGATTTGTGTTAAGYGAATATAGCACGCTTTCTTTCTTTCTTCCTTGCTTGCTCTCTCTCTCTTTCTTTAACTTTGCTTTGTAACATAAGCACCCTCAGTCATAAACCGTTGACCAGGTCTGGGACTAGGATTGGATTCAGCCGCACCCAGACTCCTCTCAGAAGGAGCCTGGAAAGCAAGGGGGTCCAATCTGAATCTCATGACCCAACGGGAGGGTATCCCAAGATAATTGTGTATTATCTTGAGCCTCCATGCAGTGAATAATAAGTGACCTTGCCATAGAATCTCATGAAATCATTGTCCATATTAATAATTCCTGTTATTATTTCTTTCATACGAGTGAAGTGCATTTGTCACTCACCCCCGCCACCACTCATTCCRTGACAGTTACCTAGCATTTTGTTTATTCCACCATGGGACCCTTTTWCTCATGTACAAGACATTAAAGTATATGTAAAGATACATCTGGTTTTCTCATGAGCTTTCCACTTACTATTTTACATGGCTGATACAGAATTCTTCAACAAATCTGACAGGAACCAGGCAAGGTTTCTAAAGTTTAAGGACTCTCTTCCCTTTCCCTTACTTGACAAACATCAATTTTAAAYTCAGTGACCCATATTCAACTCCAAAGTACCTCTGTTACTTCAGTAAAATTGCACTAAGATGTAATTACTTTGTTCTCAGGAGAACAAAAAATAGGTTGATAACATGGGCTAAGTCTGAGAAGCAAAGTCTTCCATCTCAGCTCATTAAAGACTGATATTTACTGGAAGGGAATCACTTGAAGTCCCTACTTATTTAGGGAGTGAAGAGCCTCTATAAGCTGATTTATCCTAACCTAAAATTGATATCTAAGTCTTGACATTCACTGAAATAGGAAACTTAGCACATGCACATCTAAGATTTAAGTAACTAAACATAAGTACTTAAAAATAAGTGACAAATTTCCCAACAGTAGTAGTGAAGCAGTCAATGGAAAAGTGAGTAAAATAACCTACCTGTTGTTCCAGAACAAGCAGCAAGAGGCTCTATCTTCTCTCTGTATTACCAGAACAAAACAATACAAATTGCCCTCTTCAGTACTTATATGTACTGAAGGTTAGTCGCTAGTGAGGCTTAATGATGAACCAAGACTGAGTGCAATGAGTTGACTTGCTTTGTTCCAGGCTTGGTTATAATGCCCAGGTTATCCTCATTGCAATTTGCATTATTGGCAATTCTCTCAGCTGCGCTGTATTAGGCTGAAAATTGCAAGTCAAGCATATATTTGTTTTAGGAGCACTTAGACAGTTATTCATTGTAAGAATGGATTTGCTTTCTCAGTTTAGATATCTTTGTGGTTTCAAGAATTTATATATATTTTTAAATCACGTCTATTTCAAATTGAACTTCTAAATTTACTGCTAGGCAGAAGATCAGAGCCAAAAGCTAAAGGACTGAACTAKGAACATAAGCCAAAAATTGATGCTGTTATATTGAGTCTGTCAAGTCTATTGATGCTTGTTAACACCATATAAATCTTAGTTAATAGGTTTTCTAATCCTTGCTTCTTTTTTTCCCCCTTTTATTTTTTTTTTATTTTATTTTTTATTTTGAAGCCATCACCAGTACTCATAAGGAGACAGTGAAGAAATACAGAGCGTGATAAATGCTCATAGTAGAAACCATCTTCTTGCTCACCCCGGGTGGTTTTGACACTTGGATGCTTGAGGGATTGGGATTGAGTCTTTCCTTAGGAGTCAAAAACCAAGTTCTTAGGCCAGGACAAGGATCTTAAAAAAAAAAAAAACCTAAATTCATTCATCTTGCTACAGCAGAGAAGGAAAGCCTCTTTTTCCCCACTCTCTTCCACAGTTTTTAAAGATCTAATTACTTCCTGTGATTTGAGATTCAAAGAAATTTTTTGTTCTGAGCGGTGTGGGAAGAGTAGGAAGTTCAGTGCAGGTGCCATCCTCACTCATGTGATTCCTGACCACGGCTTCCAGCTGTCTTGGGAGCTCCACAAGAATCCTAAGGGTTCAACGTCCAGTATCTGGGTCTTATTTTGGAAAGCTGTTGGAAACTGTTTGCAMTGCTTGCTGCATAAAAGTACCTAAATCAGTAATGCTGATTGCTTTGTTCATTTCTCTTTTATCCCACATCTTTTTTTTTGTGTAAATATTATATATTACTTGATCAGAAAATGTTTCACCTTCCTTTTCTTTTTATAGTAGATTAGCATGATTAAATATGTAAAAGTAATGCATTGAATATACTAATTGGAGATGTCAGGGCACTGGGGATTTCATTAGTGACTGAGAAACATCAAACTCTACCTCTTGCTTCTTCCTGCTCTTTTTCTGTGAAGAAATGAAAGGCTAGTTAAGCCTTATTGTGTTTCTGTAGAGCTTAAAAGTCAGTATCAATGCAGGCATCTTGCCATGCTCAATGACAAGATCAAGTAATGTGGAGGATGAGTTTATTTTGTAAAACAAACTATTAGAATAATATCAAAGAAATCTGTGAGAAAGAGTGATTATTTCAAGACTGAATTACCCTCAGCCAGAAATAACCAAAATTTTCTCAGAGAAGAAATTGGCAGATAAACTGTTGGCACAGCTATTTCCTTTTATGTTTTACAAACCTTTCAAAAGTCTCATTGGCCACTGTTGCAATGCAGAAATGGAGAGAGCAATACAGGATTTTCATACAACTCTGCTCAGGCAGTGAACTGAGAGACAGGACTTGTGGACTGGGCTGTGAGCTTCTTCTCTATTTCTAAAAATAAAGCAATGATCCCCATTYTTTTTTTTTCTTTTTCTCATAAAGCATTTTGAGATTGAGAAAAAAAAGCTTATCACAGGCTAGATTTTGTAAATCTGCATACAACTTGCATTTCYCTATAATGTATGATTTTATTGGAGAAGTCCTGGTTCACTGAAACTGATAGCTTTTGTTGAAATCTATCAGTTTTGATAAAACTCCTCCCAAGTCCAGAGTGAAATTTCAGTGCAAGTGAGCCCTACAGAGGTCTCATTCATCCCTTTCCACTGCCAGATCTGTTGTTCTTTATGTGAATAAGGAATCCCAAGAGACTGACTTTTTCTAGTAAGTACTATAAATACTAAATACTAAGCAAATACCTGCAAAAATAAAGATATCCTATGAAATTTTGCTCTGGAATGGTGCTTCCATTAGACTGGAAGAATTTAGTTTAGACAGCCCTGAAAATCATTTCATTTCTCTGATATCAGTGTGAGCTAAGATGAGTAATTCATGCTAAAATTCATTGGGAAATAAGAAAGCTTGTAAATCACAATCCAGCCAAATATCAGAGAAGATTTAGTGATCCGAATTAATCTTTTGATACTGTTTTGATCATCTCCAGTTGTAATTACTTGTTGGATGCTCTTCTAGCAAGGGATGCTGTTACAAAGCACAAATAAATCAGTTGTAGAGACTCAACCAGTATATGAATTTGCTTCCAGCTGTAAAATAAAAATAGATATGTTTTCAAAAAGGAGATGATTCAAGAAATCCTGAATCCTGCTGAGTGCAATGTTCATTTAAGTATCACTTTTCTCTCTAGAACATTATTGAATCTTTATCAGAGTTATGAAACTTTTCCTTTTGAGAGAGAATATTAGAGATTTTGCCCCAGAATTTTGCAAAGATTACCTTCACAGCATAATGTTTTTCTAAAGGAAAATCTCAGCGATTAAGTCGATTATTTTCTGCTGTAAAATAGTAARAGCTTTAAAAGCAAAGTGCTTTTAAAAAGAATCAAAATTTCTTTGGGAAAAATGTTAATTTTCTAACTAGAATTTTTCAGCAAAAAGAAAGAAAACATTGAGAGGTTTTTTCCCATCCAAAAATTAAAGAAAAAAACTCATTAAAAAAACTCTTTTTTTTTCAAAACTGCACTCATTTCCTGGTTAGTGTAATAAGAAAAATAACCTTTTCTTGTCACAAAACTGGTTTACACTGGATTTTTAAAATTTTAAAATTAGTTAAAATTCCCTAGAGTCTCCACTGATGTTATGGAATCCTATCACTCATAAATAAATTTATTTATTTGCTATTTTATATTTTCCTAGGGTTTCAAATTTTACACCTATTTAATAGGAACTAAGTTAAGATTTACTGATAGGTATTTTGACAAGCANAAGTACAGAGATAAAGGGAGAAGAAAAAAAAAAAGACCACAGATCATTGAACAGTTTATCACCATGAAAAATATCACAAAATAGTTCATAATTGTAGGAAATCGAATATAAGTGAGCACATAAATCTAACTGCCTCCTTTAAAGATCCTGTCAGTAAAAAAAAAAAAGAAAAAGGTAAAAGAAAAAAAAAGGAAGAGAACATGAACTGAAAAATGCATTAAAGTTATGATTTAACAAAGCTAAACTTTTTTAAAGCACATGACTAAAACATTTGGGTAGTCTAAACAAACCTGTAATTTCTGAATAAAATCATGTCATAAAAAATACAAAAATTATRAAAACTTTAGTTTTTATATAGTAGAAAGTTCATGAATGTAATACATATTTCTCTATTAACAATTCAGGCTTCTTTTAGTAGCTGAATAATACATTATATTTTCAGATTAAAATTATGGTCCGAAGGAAAAATTCCACTATAAGCTACAAAATCAAGAACGGTTTTCTCAGAGAAAGCGTGCCCAGCCATGTGGTTGCAAAGGACATTGTCAGTTGGCAAAAATCGTTGTTGCTGTTGTTGGTATTGATTTAATTCAATTTAAAAACTTCAAACTTTCCAAATCTGGCAGCAGATTTGAACAAAAGAAAGAAACAAACTTCTGTCAGACCACTGCTTCCTGATGAGATGCCTTTGAGCGTGCTGATTACACATATGCAACTAATTACGATCAAGTCCACGATAAGTTAGGCGACTGATCTATCTCCATGCCATAGATAGTGGCAACCTCATGCACACAGAGGCTAGCAGACATTGCCTCCTAACGGCCCTCTGCCTGGCGAGGCTGGACTCCCTGTCTCCTCCTCACAGTTTGGATCCTAAAAGCTGTGAAAGGAAGAAGCCATTTGAACTTCAGGAAGAAAAATTAACACATTTTTGATAGGAAGAGATGCCTGTTGCTGAGTGAGAAGCCTATTTGGCTGCTTTGTTTCCTTTCCATGAAGTGCTAAAGGCCTCTGGCAYGGTTTTAATGGCCCTTCTGGTTGAACGCAAGCCATACGCAAGAAACTTTGTAGAAAAGCAACCCAAAGGCCTCTGTTGAATAAAAAATCAGAATCACCATGTGGTGCAAATTCATAGGGTCCCAGTGTTTGTTCTGCTCACGGTGGAAGCATTGCTTTCTGACAGTCTGGCGTGGCTCACTGATAACCAAGGAGCCAAGGGCCTGCTCTGGCTGCCGTCTGCTCTGGCTCTGCCAGGCAGCCTCATGCCAGCCTTTAATTCCCAGTTCCTTTGCACTTTGGAATAGGAAAAGGACAGTTTATCGATCATCGTATGTGGTGCTTTGATTTCACAAGTCTGGTCCCTAATGAGAAAATTCCCTCTCTCCAAATGAACGAAGCCATTATATTATGCCAGCTATAGAGCTGCAAGGGCCTCTGCGGCCCAATGTTGATAGTCTTCAGCTAAAGTTTCGTTTAAGAGACACGATGGGCATGGCCTGACAAAGAGCGGTGTCCTCTATCTTTCAAAGCTGTGTACTTTTGACCAAAGCATTTCTAAAGCTACAGCACAAAAATAAATATATATCATCAAAAGATGTGATGCATCTTAAAGGCTTTATTCAATAGTAGGATAAACCTACTATTTTTGTCTTTACTGCAGAACAGTGCTTATGCATATACTTAATGGACACACTTTTCTGCACCGCTGTCTACGTGCTGTGCTGGTTGGTGATGGAGTTGTATATSTGCCAGCCAGCAGTTAAGTCAATGATAAAGCAATATGCCAAAATGCCATATATTAGCAACATATGTTAAAGAATATGCTAAAGTGCTRGTAGGAGCCAATGGTGATAAATAGATGTTATCGGGAGGTGCTGATTTAGAAAATGATTTAGGAAATACCTTCATCGGAGAATT